GAGGATTTGACATTTACAGGATATATTGGAAACAAAAAGAGACAGTGTTATGCAGTGGCTGGTGACAAGAATATAAAAATATACCACAATCAATTTATGTTTTTTTTGTAAATGGAGGAATAGTCAGTTTTACACCAGTTCTTGTATGATTAGCAAAGTTAAGCAATGTTGAACCTGATCAGTACTCAGATTGATACAATCTTGGTATTTATACTAAGAGAAAACTGCCATATGTGAAGATGATTCTGGACTGACAAATTGCAAGATCTACATGGATTTGGGTGAGAGCTGAGTAATGTGGAGCAAGATTTACAATTCTTTTTTTTTAATCACTTCACCCCAAGCAAGGCAATGAATCCATTAAAACACAAAGGATTGCTGACTGTTAGAGAATATGAAAAAGCAAAAAAAAAAAAAATCACACAAGTGAGAGTACAGTAAACTTTAGTGCATGTGCATTTTTTTTTTTTTGATTCTGTCAACTGTACAGTATAGTTGGATCAGTGGAAGGAGCCAACTTTCCTACAATTTTTTTTCAATAAGATTCTATGAGTTTCTACACTGGAATTTGTTCAACGATTTTAATGCCTAAAGAGAACATTTTGGTTCATGAACTATAATCAATGCACAGAAAGTTCATTGTCTCAATTAAAATAGTTCTGTTAGCTATTTCTAGTATCCCGATGTAAGAAGAAAGAGGACCATGACACAATTCACTTTGCCAGAAATTTGAGAACAGCATGTTGTACTGCTTGGCATTCACACCAGAAGCTCCAATACAAACATTTCAGAGTTTTAGTATCAGACTCAGGACAGTGCAGCAGATTTGGAAAGAGTTGGTTGATTCTTATGCTGATTACAATGGTGTTTGGAGAGATCATGAGTGATGATGACATTATACTTCCATTCATCTTCCAACAGGGCCTCAGACTCAAGATGGAGGCCTATGTCAAGTGCCTTGAGGATGTAGTGTTGCGTTGGGTCAAGAGAGTGGCTGCTGGAAAATCCTATGTTTGGCAACAGGACTCTGCACCATGCCACACAAGATGGAGGACCCAGTCATGTCTGTCAGACAATTTCTGCAACTACATCACACCTTATATCTGGCCACCTAACTCCCCAGACTGCAACCCCCTTGATTATTATGTGTGGGGAACAGTTGAGCGAGAAACCAACAAAACTCCTTGTAAGACCAAAGATGAAGTGAAGACAAGGATTATGGCAGCATTGACCAACTTAAACAAGGAAACCATTCAGAAGAGTTGCAGGAGATTCCAAAGTCATCTGGAGAACATGGATGAAGTCAATGGTGATTTTATTGAATAAATTTACTCTTTAGTATTTCAAGATATTTTTGTCTAAATTTGGTAAATATATCTGTTAAAATGAAATGTCAGTGTTATTTTTATTTTTATCCATCACACCCTGCATTTAAAAGATTCTGCCACAAAACAAGAGAACCAACTTTCCTACAATTTTTTATTTGTTTCAATAAGATCCTACAAGTTTCTACACTGGAATTTGTTCAAAGACTTTAATGCCTGAAGAGGACATTTTAGTTCATGAAGTATAATCAATGCACAAAAAGTTCATTGTCAGAATTAAAATAGCTCTGTTAGATATTTCTAGTATCCAGATTAATCAAGTCTTCCAATTTGTACAGATCAATACCTTGACTACACAGAATATATATATATATATATATATATAAAAGTGAACATACAAGTCAACACTTAGAGGTGACAGCCTGTTTCATGCTAGATGCAATCGTCAGGCCACATGAAACAGACAGTCACCTCTAAGTGTTGACTTGTATGTTCACATGCCTCATTTTATACTTTTACAAATATAGCACATCTATATTTATATATATATATATATATATATATATATATATATATATATATATATATATATATATTATATATATATATATATATATATATATATTATATATATATATATATATATATATATATATATATATATATATAATATATATGATATTGAGCACTTTATCCCATAAATATATATACATCTTAATATTATATATATTATATATATATATATATATATATATATATATATATATATATATATATATATATATATATATTATATATATATATATATATATATATATATATATATATATATATATATATATATATATGTCATATAACTATTATTAGAAACATCAGAGATTTTGTGTCAATTAATTTAATGATCAACTTTTCTGAATTACAAATAATCCAGACAAGGAGGAAATCCTGTCAGAAAAATGTACAGGAAATATTATCCAAGTTTTTGAATTTCCTCACTTACCAATCAGGGTAGGTAGAGAATTGTTAATCAGGGAGAGCTGAGTTCCAATTCCAGTTGGGTTTGTTATATTCACTTATATGCAAATACTCTTAGAGAAAGGTATGGATCCACCTCTTCTCTCCCCAGCTATGGGTTAATTAATTATACTTGTCTTACTAAATCATTATTATATAAAAAAATAAAAAAAACATTCTTACAATTTAAAAATATTTTCTGGCTTTAAATAACCTGCAATGGGTTGATAGACTATAGAAAATGAATAGGTAAAAAAAAAAAAAAATTAGTGTTGAGAGGTTCTGTTGGTGTTGACAGATGAGAGAGAGAGCACTGATTGAATTTATGGCTACTTAGACTTGTGACCTCATTTTTGCTACAAAATGATTTGTTTACATCAGTTTTCAGAATGTTTTATTGAAGTCATTTTTGGTTGTTATAAATGTTATTATAGACACAACATTAGTATGCTCTGGACATTTTCAGATATCAGATTATTTTTAACTTTTGAGTTGAGGAACTGACAATATACCTTGACATTCAAACTAGCATTCTTGTTTTGATTATTATACAGGATGCAGTGGGTAAATTGTAGCAGTTTTATATTTTTAATTTTGTGTATGTGCATTGTTTTTGATTTTGCCAACTGCACAGTAAAGTAGGGTCAGTTGGGCACCATCTGTGAGAAAAAGAGCACCATGACACAATTCACTCCGTCAGGAATTTGTAAACGGCATGCTGTACTGCTTGGCATTCATACTGGAAGCTCTAATACAAACATTTCAGAATGTTTGGGTGTCAATCTGGGGACAGTTCAGAGGATTAAAAAAGAGTGTGATAAGTTTAATGGTGATTATGAAGGTATCTCAGCTCAGAAAACTCACTCTGATCATTCTGATAAGAAAAGAACTCCCAAATTTGTTGGTGAGGGGCTCAGACTCAACAGGGAGGCTTACATCAAGTACCTTGAGGAGGTAGTACTGCCATAGGTTAAGAGTGTGGCTGCTGGAAGATCCTATGTTTGGCAACAGGACTTTGCACCATGTCACACAAGCAGGAGAACCCAGTTATGGCTGTCAAACAATTTCTGCAACCACATTACCCCTTACATCTGACCACTTAACTCCCCAGACTGCAACCCCCTTGATTATTATATATGGGGCACAATTGAGTGAGAGACCAACAAAACTCCTTGTAACACCAATGATGAAGACAAGAATTATGGCAGCATTCACCAACTTAAACAAGGAGACTGCCCAGAAGAATTGCCGGATATTCTGAAGTTGTCTGGTGACCGTGGTTGAAGCCAATGGCAATTTTATTGAATAAATTTACTCTTTAGTATTTCAAGATATTTTTGTGAAATTTTTATAAATATATTTATTAAAATGAGATGTCAGCATTATTTTCATTTTTGCATCATTTACACGACAATTTATCCATCACACCCTGTATATAGTAAAATATATTTTAAAATAAACACATTACATATAATAAGCAGAATAAATATTATTTGTTAGTCATGCCCACATTCCTGCATAACATTTGATAACAGATCTTGAAAACAATATTAATATATGTCAAAATGAAATTGAACCAGGCTACTGCTACATCACGACATTAAATCAGTGTTAGTCAAAAGGGATGAAAATAGTACAGACTTCCACGACAGATTTTAATGACATGATAATGTTGTTTTCTTCATTGTTACCTGTCATATGTCAAAATTTTATTCCATTGTTTTCCCTACTACTCTGATAACCATATTTAATTTGCCTACAATCCACATTTGAAATTTCTTGGGTAAATAATAAGAAAAGAATGTTTGGAGAACTGGTCACTCACAGGACATATTGAAGGCAAGAGCAAAGCAGCTTTAAATAACCTACCTGAGCATGTGCAAACGGATGGCAGGACAGGGATTAGGATGGATACAAAGAGCTAAAAAGGACAGGAAGTTATGGAGAGCCATGATCGTCTATGTCCTGAAGAAAGAAAGACCCACATTATGACTCAACTGGGACATTTTCAACACAAAGAAATGACAAAAGAATTTGATTTCAGTTTTCAGATTGAGAACAGAGAATCAAAGAAAGAATTAACATTGATTGGATTAAACAACAAAGATTTATCAATATTATCTTTTTGGGGGAGATAATAATGATTTAATAATGTAAGACTTACTAATTAACCCATAGCTTGGGGAGAAGCAGTGGATTCATAACTAATTTGAATTTGATAAACAAACAAGATGTTATAATGTGGATATAAAGTGGTGGATCAATTCTATATTACAATCAATATATAAACTGATCCCTCACTTCACTTTCTATATATTTATATTCCAGGAAATGTAAATAAATCTAAAAGACATGCCTGCATAGCTAATCAGTATTTCATTGATTCATTCATTTTCTATGAATTATGTACTTTTTTAGGTTATTTAAAGCCAGAAAATATTTTTAAAGTCTAAGAAATTCTTTGGGGAGATAATAATGGCTTAATGATACAAGTCTTACTAATTAACCCATAGTTGGGAGGGGAAGATGTGGATTCACACTTTTCGCAAGGTTATTTGCACATAAGTGAATATAACGCATCTGAACAGGAATTGGAACTCTGCTCTCTGATTAGCAATTCCGAGCCATTATTTATTAAACTACTTACACAACCAAGCATTTAGCACCTGATATTCCCAAACGGTCACCAATCTGGGTACTGACCAGGCTCAACTTTGCTTAACTTCAGTGATCATATGGGAACTGATGTTTCAATGTGATGTGGCCATAGACCTCAACTGAAAGAAAGAAGCAACATTGATTGTATTATGCAACAAAGATTTATGAATATTACCCTTAGTTATTGCGAATGAAGAAAACAATGCTTTTCTTCCCAGTTATTATTACAATAATTAAATGAAGTTCCTGAATGAAATCAATCAATATATTTTGCTTTTTTATATATATATATATATATATATATATATATATATATATATACAGGTCAGTGATGCATTATGGGTATTCTTATTAAAATTGGTTAAAAACAAATCACACCAAAAATATCATATATAATAAGGTAAAGAACATCAGACTGCAAAAATCAATACAAAAACTGTGAAATCTGCCTGGAGTAAAAATGGCTATTATTACCTTCCCAGACCAAAACACTGTGCTAAATAAACGATCGAAACTCATCTCAAAATGCAGACAAATCTTTATTACATTACTTAAAAATTGAAAACGAACAAGAATAAATGAAAATAAACAAATAAAATAAATAAATAAACAAAAACAAGTAAAATAAATTAATCCACACAAATAATTAAGTAAATAATAAACTAATTAACAAACCATGTCCACCAAAATAACTGTGAGAATAATATAATAGAATACCCATAATGCATCACTGATCTGTATATATAAAAAGTTAAGAAAAAACACACTATATATGGCCTGATGATTGCACTGACCTCAATGTTCACTTAATGGCCAAAATAAAATGTACATAGGGTATATGGAAGGAACTTTCAAATGTAGATGGTACAATTATAGGTCATCATTTAAGCTAGCATATCTTAGCCCCCTACCAAACTAGCTAACTATGTGTAGAATTTAAAAGAAAAAAAACAACAGGAATACATTTGTAAGGTGAAAGATTTTAAAAAGGCAAACCCATACAATAATCACAATATTTGCATCTGCTGCCAACAAGAAGAATTAGTGATTATGACATTTCTGGATCCAAAAAACCTTTTAAACCAGAAATCCAGAGTTTTAAGTCCTTGTTTACATATCAGAAATGAGGCTAGATAAAAAAAAGTATTTAAACCCCTCCACTAATACATTTAGAATACACTTGCTTTTCTTCTCTTCCTCCTTCTTAAATTATTCTTCTTCTTTCTTCACATCCTCCTCCTCCATTTCTATTAAACCCTACATCATGCATTTGTTTATTTATTTTTGAAAATAATAATGTAGCATTCTTTAGTTCTTTTAAAAAAATAAAGAAGAGTTAGGTAGTCATTTGATAAAAATCACCTGAAGATAACATTAGGTTGAAACCAAGGTAGCTGATTCAACTGACCTCCTGATTTTTAAAGTATATATATATATATATATATATATATATATATATATATATATATTATTATTATTATTAGGAATGGATTTTTCCTTTATTAATCTGACATATTTTATTACTTAAATGTTATTTTTTTTATTTGAGTAGATACTCTGTTTATATTAGTATCATTTACCAGCCAGAATAGTTAAGAAATCTTATGAGGAAAATATGTGCTCTCTGGCAGGATTTGAACCTTTGTTCTGCTAGGGAAAACCATTGTTAGATCTGACGTGCTTTTACCTCTTGGCTACAGAGAACCTGATGGCTAAGCAAAGCCCAAATAGTGCTTTTAAACACACATCCTTCCCGACTCTCAAAATATACATCACGGCTCAGTTTCATATACTAACATAAACAAAGCAATTTTAGGAATGGATTTTTCATTTATTAATCTGACATATTTTATTACTTAAATGTTATTTTTAGTGGATATATTTAATTATTTTAATCTACCGGCCTGAAATAACATTTAATTAATATATATTATCACTTTCAATGTTATTTTTTAGTGGATATTCATATTTGAGTATGTTGTGTCCTTAAAGATGTTACAAACAGACAAAGGTGGTTCTTGAGTGAAGGAACAGCAACACGAGCATAGGTGAAAGAAAAAGACGTTTATTGTAAAAGAGAATACACTACTGAAAGACAGGGAATCATGTGGCAGGCTAGTAATTCCTGAAGCAAAGATATTTGCCAACTGCCCCACATGGTCAGATGTGGCACAAGGCCGAATTTAATGTGGGGTATCTGAGCCCTTAAGCTTGGGCAAAAATTCTCCATAGACCTCATATACATGGGGTCGGGTAGCTGTCTATCACCCCAGACATGGCTATGCTGAAAAGCAGAGTCTCCTCTGGAGTGATTTTAATCTCCTCTGATTTTTCCATCACCAATTGATAGTTAGCATCAACATTTTCCTTAATCTTAAGATGGGCACTCGTTTGGGAACTCCAGGTGCTATAAGCTTGGATGTGTGGGTGGTGTAATAGAAAATGGCTCAGAATTGTTAATTGGTGAGCCAAGTTTAAATTCCTGTTGGGCTCATTATATTCTCTTACACGCAAATACCTTTGGGAAAGGTATAAATCTGCCTCTTCTACCCCCAGTTATGAGTTCATTAATAAGACTTGTATCACTGAAACCATTATTATCTCAAAAAAAAAAAAAAAAAAAAAGAAAAATTGTTACAATCTAGAAAAAAAATTCTGGCTTTAAATAACCAGGCAAAGGATTGATGTCATAAAAAACAAACCAATCAATCATAATCTTATTCAAAAGAGCTCAGAAAATCAAATTTTAGTTGGTAGAGTAGCTTCTCAGCACCTCCTCATATTATGAAAAATACTTGTTTTTTTATTTCATTATTTTTTAAATCAATTCTTTGTCAAGAAAGTATCATTCAAGGAGTCTGTTTATGCTTCCTGACTCTTTAGAAATGATAACTATAATCTTATCTCTAACTTGCCTAAGTTTCCATTAATAAATTTCCATAAATATTACTTTTTATCATATTTATACCAATGCTGATTGTTATCTATACGAACATTCTGAAAAGCGTTGTTGTATGAACCCAGTAACTGTGGCAGAAGCACTTCATTTGTTTCCTTTATAATAAACAAAAATTCTCATCATTTACATTGTTCTAGCCATATGTGCATAACTTCTTTTTTTTTCTTTGAAACAATTCACACCAAGCAAGGTGATAATGCCACTAAGATGCAAGGGGCTACTGAGATTGAATGAGAATGAAGAGACTTTAGAAGGAACCAGAAACCCAATCCTAAACAGGAAACAAGGAATAAACCTCTACTTCTGTTCAAAAGACTTGGGAGGTGTATGAACTGGACAATAGGTGAACTTATCTACACCTATTGAAGGCAAAAATAAATAGCAAATAAAATTTCAGAGTTTAAACAAAGATATCAGAAGTATAGAATTGAAGTAGACTTTAGAAGGAACTAGAAACTCAATTTAAAACAAGAAAATAAATCTCTACTCCTGTTCAAAAGACTGGGAAATAGTGTGAACAAGCTGATATTCATAAAACTGATAGTAATTTCATAAAATGAAACTCTTGTTACCTGCAGTCAGTAATGTTAACTATAAAAGTGTAGAAATGCAGTTATCTCCCCTTTTGGTAGACAAAAGACCCAACAGGCCTGTCTGTTTTAGCTGCTGAGTAGATTTTAAGAAAGACATGATTGCTGTGGTGATTGGGAGAACAGATAAAAACATGGTCCCAACAATGAACATAAAAGACCCACCAAGTTGGACTGCTTCCTCTTCTGTTAATATTACAATATTATATTTTGATTTTCACAGATTTATATTGCTTATTTTATCCATATGGATTATAGCTTCTCTGTGTGGAACAAATAGTTTTATATATATATATATATATATATACAAACTACAGTTCAAAAATTTAAAGCCACTCCCATAGATGAACTTGACAGAAGAGTGAAAAAAAATGAAAAAGAGTTCTTAAAGTCATTGAAAAAAAGAATGGAATCAATTATCAAACTTATACTTTGAGAAACTTTTGCAACAAATGCCAAAATTTTGTGCTGCAGTAATCAAGGCTAAAGGAGGATATTTTAATGAGAACAAAATTTAATCATAAAATGCTTTTTTCTATTTGTCATAATAAAATTTCTAATTAAAAATCATGTCTGATTTTTTTTAAGCCAGTATAATTACTTTCTCTTATTTAAAGTACAAAACAACTACTTTTTGGGCCAATTTAAAAAATTACCTGGTGTTACCTCAAACTTTTCAACTATAGTGTATATATAAATATATATATGTGTGTGTGTGTCTGTCTGTGTTTGGGGGGGGGGATTCATTTCTTTCAGCTATCCTGATCCTGAAAAAGGGCCTAATCTCATTATTATTGCTTCTCTTATGTTTTTGTATATGCATTTTAACCATACTTGTAGAGTCAACAAGTATCTAGCAAATGGTGTAGACTAGGCTCTTTAGTTATATATGCAGACATTGTGGTGATCACATGTCACTGAGCAGAAGGCTTTCTTGACTAAAGTCAGCAGTCAGGCTGGAGGGTTCTGCTAATAAAATCAATAGCCATGTATCCATGACCAATTCAAAACTTACAAATTGGAGAACATGTAGTGAGTGTGAAATAATAAACACTTCCTTCACATTTTAGATGAGCTGAGAAGAACAAGTAAATAATTTTGCAAGCTCATGTGAAATTTTTTTGACCAATGAAAAGCTTGCCTTCACAGAAATTAGCTGTTGGGCCAGAAAAGAAAGTAGCAAAATTACTTTTGATAAAAAATGAGGAGAAATATTTAATTAATGAGAGAAAAGTGTCTGATATCATGTGAAAAGATTTGTATCTGTTTCCCCATGTCCAGCATTGAAGTTTTCACCAGTGTAAAATTATTCACCAATTATATTTAATAATTCTTAACTAAGCACATGGCACTTCAAAGAACTTTTTTCCAACAATCCAAGGAAGCTAAGTATTTCAAAGTATTTCAGAGTATCTCTCTCTTTGTCTATTTTTGAATATATGAAACCGTATATCACTTCTGTGATACATTTTCAAATATTTTTTTGTTTCAGATCATTTAATCTATTGTATGAACAATTTCTCTTCATGACAATTCATTAAAACTGCAGACTCTAAAAATTT